TAGCGATGCCAGGAGCCCCTAGTAGCGATGCCCTTGCTCCTAGTAGCTTCTTGTTCCTAGTAGCAATTCCAACTTACACATGGTTAGAAAGTCCAGAACCGCAAGAGTGAAGCAGCTTGGATCTGATTTTGACTCTTTTCCTGATTGGCCGCAGCTAGATTTGGCGTTTGAGTTGGTCAAAACCTGCTGAAATTGGGTCTACATATTGTATATATAGATATATACACACACACACATTTTTGGACAGCTACATGTCCAAAGGACATTGTGCAGGTTTTTGCTGAGACATCCATTATGTTATGACTTGCCCATGTTTTGCAATACTTTGGAAGCTTCCTTTTGGCACCCTTCAAGTTCTTTAGTTTCCAGGATTGAGACAGTGACAGTGGCATGCTTGGGTCTGTTGAAACACATGTCGATTTCGTTCATTTTTGTGGTTACTGAGTTTTGCAGGATGTGCCCGGAAGCGCCTCCCAAGCCTGTGGGGCAGTTGGATCGGTGTGGTCCACAGAGCTAGGGCAGTTGGAAGGAGGACAGACCCTGGACTTTAGGGACAAGTGCGAAGAACATGCTCAATTGTGGAGGATGCTCGAGTTCAACATGTTGCAGTTGTTTCTTCCTCAATTCTCTTGTGTTGTTCTGTCTTATCATATATGATGCCTGCCTGCAAGACATTCTTTTCATCTTGTTGGCCGAAAGAAAATAGACCGAGTCTACAAGAGACGCCTAAACTGTACGGCTCAGGTGCACCACAGGCCTAATGATTTTCACCCTGGACGGATGCCTCACCTGCCACCTGAATAGTCGCGGCCTTTGGATCACGACAAGCGGACATCATGGCGTTTGCCTGACTGAATTGAAAAAGGCCTGGGTCGTTTTCCTACAAGCCCGAGGAACATGTCTAAGCCTAAGCCAAACAAAGCCTGTAAGAACATTAGCAGCCGCTCATGTGTGTCAAGTGAGAATTATATATTGATCTCAGCCCTCCATTGTGATCATTATGAAGTTCACCTCCAAAAGAAACTGAGCCGGCCCTTTGGTTTACCGTCACCAAGGCACCGAGGTTCTCTCCTCGTCCGTTCGCGTCTCCCGTTCGCTCGAGGCCATGCTCCCAAGACGTATCGCGCGTGGTACGATGGCTGGAGACGTCGCGATGGGAGGAGCGCTGCAACGAGGGAGAAACACCATGGAGGACACGGAGAATGTCTGGAGAGGGATGGTATAGCTTTAGCCAAGCTTAGTATAGTTCTACAGATCAACTGCGTTCAGCGACATAGGTTGGGGGTTCAATCTTTCGTGTCGAACGTCGACATGACGAACGAAACCGAAGAGCCTCGACGTCTCGGTCGAGGACGAGTTCGTCTCCAAGACGTCGACACGCGTCTTGGTCGGATGTACAGAGGTGGACTATGGTGGACTGATGGCCCTTCTTTTCATTTCTGCACCGTGATTTAGTGGGCCTTATTAAAGGTCCATTTTCTTCTGGTTCCTAGCTTCCGTTTTTCTGGCAGGAGTTGTGGCGAGCTCACAGACTTGGAATGCCAACGCCTGCTGGAGGCATGCCTTTTCTAGTGGCTTGGAATTGCCACTGTTTAGCGGTCAACTAGGAACAGAGACCGTCGAGGTGCATTGTTTTGTGGACCTCAACTCGTGCCACACTTTTGTCGGCAAGATACCAATCTCTTGATTCAAAAGGCAAGATTGGCACAAAAAGAGGGCAATGTCTCCTTTCTTTATGACCCTACTGGTAGCTTGACTCCGAAGATGTTCTATGCCATATCCTTCTCGAAGCCTTGGTCTGACCCCAGCTCAACATTTTGTACCAACCACCAAAACCAGAATTTCCCCACGGAAGTCTCGGGGTTGGTAGTGGAGCTACCAAATATGTACTTTTTTTAGCGGATGCTTCAGCTCTCAAGAAAGTTGTACTTTTTCTACCTCCTCTTGGCATCCTGCATATCTTTCGTGTGACAGTACGACGAAGTAATTGGATGTTTGCTTCTTGAAATGGACAAATCCCACAAGGCGCTCCAGTTGAGATCACTCCCATGTGGCTGTGGGTCTAAACCTCTCCTTACAAGCCATGGTTTTGGTTGACATCCCGAACATAGAGGCTTTTGCTCCTTTGACCCGGAGGTCAACCAGGGCATCAAAACACTATTGTCAGGATCAAACGCACATTACAAGGAAAGGAAAGGAAAGGACAGGAAAGGAAAGGCAGGAAAAGCAGGAAGGCAGGAATGCAGGCAGACAGGCAGGAAGGAGGCAAGCCTTTTGACCTTGAATAGGTGCGGGGTGTTGTGTTGCAATACTTTTCAAAACAACCCATGGGTCAATTCTGGAAAGAACAGACTCTATTTAATCCTAGGGCTTCGCTGTTTGAACCCAAGGACTTGTTTTTAACCCATGAGCCTTTTTTTGACCCACATACAACACACCTTGCTAACCCAGAAACGGTTTCTTCAAACCTTTTTCTCTTGACACACAAAAGGCAGCAACACCTAGAAAGGTTTGCCTCTCTGTGCATGCAGAAACTTACTGTGATCATGACCTGCTTTCACGCGGAACACCTACTCCATGTTTTGGTTGCTGGAGAATGCAATTAGACCTTGCCGCGAACATGACCTGTGAGGTCCCCAAACTGCAGTTTGGGTGCCGACCGAAGTGTCTCCCCGCTTGTTTGCCTGTGCTTTAGAGCTACTTGGTATCTGGTGGGGTCTATGCCAGTGTAATCATTTTATTGTCCTCACGTATAGACGAATAGCTTCTTTTTGATCCCTCGGGAATTTCCGCCGGGAATACGGAATAAGTCTTTTAGACTTGTAATATTTTTTTATCCTCTTATATACCTCCCAGGTCGGGGGCTTTGAGATCACTGCCATGTGTCTTTCTTTCGATTCTTCCACCTATAGTGGTTTCGGAGTAATGGCTCAACCCCCTGCCCCCTACATGTCTTTTAGATGGGGGTCCATATAACCAGCAAACTTGGGGATTGTGCCGTCTACTCAATCGTACTACAGTCTCGCGCCTCAGGGTGTCGAACTCTCGCGGGGCGATGGCTTTGCCGCCTTCGAATCCATCGAAAGGCGCAAATCTGGTCGATGGATTTCAGAACATCCATCGGATGGATGTTCTGAAAGCGGTTTTAACATAGCGCAAGACGCAAAGCTCTGAAGGGTCAGCTCAAAGTTTGATAGGTTCTGCGTCTGGGACTCAGCCAAATTTCCCGGCCTGTGGTAATGAGCCTGTTGAGGTGTACCCAACAACTACTGAGAATAGTTATATACGCCAACCGACCCATCCCTAGTACTTGCCACGGACGATCAAAGCTGTGTGGTTACTGGCAGTAACCAGAAAGCTTTGATTGTCCTTGGCAAGTACGGTTACTGCTGCAGATGGTTTGAACTTCAGTTCCATCACTCAATCGCAGCCTTTCTGAAGACGGCTCCCAACGCACAGGCTGGGTGGTGTTCAACAACCCAGCGTGCAGAAATCAGGCGCTGCAAATCCGAACTCCCCTGGACCCTGTTCACTCTTCCACCAAACAGCCAGATCAGCTGCCACACTTTATTCCTTATGTTTTGTGTATTTGTGGCGTCTCAATGATAGGTTAACTTGGCAACCAGTCGGTTTTTAGTTTAGTCGTCCTTTCTTTCTACTGGGCTGCTTGGGGGTTCCCTATTGAGAGGCAACCTCCTGTAGCCGTAGTCTGTTTTACACTCTAGAGTCGAAGTAGATGACAACTGGGGATAACTGGGTTTGTCTTCTGCATTGGTCACAGTTTCTGAGATGGGTAAAGAGGGGATCCTCAATCAATGGGTCTCTTCTATCTACTTTCCTCACGTCTGCACTGGCAAGGGCTTGCTGCTTGCAAGCAGGCATGTTTGCCAAGGTCAGAATGCAAGACCAAATGGTCTCTGCTACGTAGTGCGAAGGTATGCTTCCATGTAGGCAGCGTCACCAAACGGATCCCAGTTGAGAAAGTCTTCAGGGCACAACTCCGGGCACAACTGATGTTTTTGTTGCAGGTGAAGAGATCGAGAAGTTCCAGTACTCCGCGGATGTACGGATCAAGTGTGGCAAGTTCCATGTGGCCTCAGCAACGAAGTGGTTGTTGAATCTGGAAAGCTTCACCATGATTCATCCCTAGATGGGAAGTACTGGTGGGAAACCCTGCTCATGGCTTCCTCCGCAAATCGTTTCTTCAGGTGGTGAAGCGTCTCTTCATGTCCGTGGGGAAGTCAGCTGGAATGCCCCAGTGGGGGGGGGGAGGATCAATGCAGAGCTGCAAAGATCTAGCTGAGGAGGCCATGATCTAGCTGACAGACTAGACAGACTTTTGAAGGCCATGAGTAGCCATGTCACGACAATTCACAATGTAGGTTGTACCGAAGGAGAATGTGTGGCTAAATTGCCACTCGCCAACTGGCTCTGGGTCATGGCACCCGGATACCTTGGTAGGTCACTACCGACGTGACGTGCGCTCCAATGTTTGCGCTTCCCATGGCCCTTCACTATCAGTGGGTGCCTGGGAATTGAAGAGAGTATCCACAAGACCAAGCACTATACAAAGTCCTACACGCAACCTAACTGGGTGAAACCGAATCTCCGCGCAGCACGAAGCATTGCATGTGGGGAAAAGTAAACGAGAATTAGCATCTCATTAGGGGCGGGTGGAATCTGCACGGTATCGAGATCTTGGTGCTTCGCGAAGGCTTTTCGAATGTTCCGTCTGTATAAAAAGCATTGCTCATATGTGAGCGAAACAGGTGGAGCCGACACGAAGGAGGATTGAACAAACTGCATGGACACGGCACCGTCTGGGTGATATGAGGGCTTGCAATGATGCGAAATGCCTCCGACTGTTCTCGAAGGGACCTTTTAACCTTGGGCAAGGCTAGAACCTTAGAATCTTGCCAGTGATGTGGTCGGGCCCTCTATCCTGCTTGTAGACGAATCCTTGTTGGGAATTGGATTCCTGTATTAACACCAAAGGCAATCGTCAATTCGTGCCATGTAATACCTTCCTTCGCGGTGGTAGACAAATCCGGTGAAGCAGGGTCAGGCCAAACAAGTGCAGCACAAAATTGGCGGACAAGGTCGATATCAAACCGATATTTTTCTCGTTGACGATAAATGGTCCCCCAATCTTGGGTGGGTCATGCATATCACTGGTCTGTTTTTGTACAGCAGCTTGTTGCTGTTTACTCTTAGCATGCTCTAGGTTGAGATCTGTCAAATATTTGAGAATAGTTTTGGTTGGAGAAATTGGTCCATATGCCATTGCTTTGCTTTATGAAAGAATGCATCAATTTGGTCATGATCTATTGTTCTCGCTCTGACTGCTGCAATATCTGCCCAATGATTGCCTACGGCTGCTTCCTTAGCAGGGCCAGGGCCCATGGATGCTATATCTTGATGAGACTTAACTTTGCGAAGCATGAATTGGTCTGGGTTCCAGGCTTCTGAGATGATCTGAAGGAGATCAGCGTGTGCGAGTCTGTGCCAAGATTTGGGCGCTGTAGGGCACGTTACCTCTTGAATGCTGTTAATGACATATTGGCTATCGGTGGTAATTATATACCACTTTCTGTGTCCAGTTAGATCGTGCAGCCTGTTGGATAATCCACGCGACAGCTGCTAGTTCAGCCCTTGAGATTGTTTGTCGCCCCTGCACATGTTGGATTTTGATAGTGACATATTTGGGCGAAAGAGTGGCATATAAACCTTGGATGACTGACCAGGCTGCACGGCGTGGCGATAAGGCGATCAGGGGTTGTCTGCGGACCCGTCGGTATCAAAGTAGAGGACATCGGGGTCCATCTGGATGGGCGAGTGTTTAGTCGGCTGTCCACGAAAAGCGAGTAACTGTCGCAGCGTTATGACTTCCGGAAACGACCAAGGCAAAGGTAGCCAGAGCTTATCAGGGAACTGTTGAGGCGACTGCCTGTGGGTGTCGTTGCCGAACATGGTGGAACGAGGGGCAGTCCAACGGTGCCGATGAGTGTCCAATTGATTACAAAACAGGCAGTTAGCGTCAACGACCGATGACCATGTGGATTTGACTGCTGCCACCTGATATCCTCCAGTTAAATCGTAAGCAATCTGCTTGAGTTCGGAGACAGACATGGACTGTGTGGCCTTATGGAGCACTGTAAAATCAAACGGGTGATCGACCGTGCCTTTACGTTGGGAAATCTGACGCTGGATATAATATGCCCATGATTGTCGCAAAGCGGAGCGAATATCATGCAAGGAGTCTGTTGTGACAGAAACGGACAGGGAACCATCAAGATGAAGAACGCCCTCGGCCGAAAATGACCAACCTAAGAGACTGAGATACACCTGATATTTCCCGAATGAGAGCGAACGGCAGTCAGGAATTCATTGGCCAAGCTTGAATTGGTGTGAGAGAGACGTCTCAAAAATGTGATGGCAGTGGATACTACGACCGGCGTAACTTGCACAACGTCCACAAGCTCTCTCCAGCCCTTCAGCTACGCTGGGTACTGAGGAGTTTGGTAAATGACCACTGCACACAAAATGTAAATTTTGCTCCTAGTAGCTTCTTGTTCCTAGTAGTAAGGCCAGGAGCCCCTAGTAGCGTCCTTGCTCCTAGTAGCGATGCCCTTTGCTCCTAGTAGCTTCTTGTTCCTACAGAAGATCTACCTATGTGCACGTGAAACCAAATATCCGCAGCATGGGAAATGCACCGGATCAGAGATGAACGAACCACAAGAAATGGTAGACTGTCTGCACAAAAGTAGCAAAATCATGGCATCCTGAATTCATGAATTCTCTAATTTTGAGACACTTGCTGGCTCAGGGACTCAATCTAGCGATTTATTGGCATTGTAAGCTTGGCGCAACTTTCCCAAACTGCTTGCACTTTTCATAGCTCAAATCAAGCTACACTGGAAGGTCAAGCTACATGGTCTTGGGGCTCCAGGTTTTGACCCATCCCCAACAGCCCAAATCACACCAGTATGGCGGGGTCCAATGCCATAGCAGTCCTTGACAATGCTGGCTGCTTGGTTTGTCAGCGTGACAGACAGCAAGAGCTTTCTTTTTCTAAGGAGTAAGAACATTTGGGTCTGCTTCGTGCCAAACCTCGGGCCTCTGAACATTTCTTGCAGTCTTGTAGATCTCAATGAGAGGTCTCCATCAATGTGCCACATCGTCTTCTCGCCAGATTTGACACCCCCTAGGATGCTCCCAGGTTTATTGATCACACTTGATCCCTAACAGATTTCAAGGTGGAGGATTTCATGTTGTCACCCAGCAGGGGTTCCCCACTCAGGCAAGCTAGAAAAAGCACGGCATTTCCGATGGTTTGGACATCAGTTCTGGGGAGATGGACATCAGGAATTCCACAACATGTCAATTTTGCTCCTAGTAGCTTCTTGTTCCTAGTAGTAAGGCCAGGAGCCCCTAGTAGCGTCCTTGCTCCTAGTAGCGATGCCCTTTGCTCCTAGTAGCTTCTTGTTCCTTGTTCCTTCTTGACTTCAAGAACTTGGAATTCCACTTGTTTCATTCCTTCTTCGAAGCACGAGGTCCTCAGGCTCCAACGCTTGGCCATCGGAGAGCTTTCCCTTGAGGCCTGTGGCCTACAGGAGCCCTTTGGATGCGACATGAGGGGTGACAGGTGGCAGGGAGAAGCCATGGGAAATTGGGAAGGAAACACTCCATGGCGGGAAGTTCAGTTGGAACAGTGCTAGCTTCTATTTCTTGACTCAGTCTTTTGGTTCTTGTTTAGCCTGAAAAGACTGGGGACCTTGCTGCGCTTTCTCTACTGGTCTTGCCCATCTCTCTATTGCGAGGCCGGGAGACTTTGTGGAGCTCACTGCAGAGCAAGTCGAAGCCTTGTGGCAGGACAATGTCATATCGGCGATCTTTTTTGTGTGGGTGGGTGACCGCACTGTCAAATCCGTGCCTTTAAAGCCTCAGGATTTGCTGCTTGCAGAATTTTTGCTGAAACATCGTCCAGCTTGCTAATTTGGCTTAAATAGGTGCTTGTCATTTGTATCGCATGACTCGGTGAAGGCGAACCACAAGTCAGAAGAATCTCTTGTTTGAGGCCACTGCTGAAATCACGGCAGTAGGGATTTCAAAATCTGCATGTTCTCACAGTTCGGCCTCAGTCCCAGTATCCTTCCTGCTTGTAATTTGGACAAGCACCTGCAGTCGGTCAATCTGAGACGGTCTCCAGATCCCATCTCCGAGCAAAAGCCGTTGAACGACTCACAGGTCGTGGGCCCGACTTTCCTGTGCGTTCTTCTTCCGTTTGGCGTCCTTGCTCCGTTCGTAGCGATGCCAGGACCCCGTTCGTAGCGTCCCTTACTCCTAGTAGTAAGGCCAGGAGCCCCTGGTAGCGTCCCTTGCTCCTAGTGTCTGATATTGTCTCGTAGTTTCCACATGCAACCCCGTCCTTCCTAGCCAGAAAGTCTTGGAACAGCCTTGGGACAGCCCTATTCCCAAGAAATCAAATCCTGATGCGGGTGCGTGAACGCATTTAAACGTTTAACGTTACACTGCACCACTCGCCTCCTACAGTTTCCACAACCTTCCGTTGAGCATGTGAAAGCTAATTGGAAGCTCGATTCTGTTAGTACAAATGCAAGATTCAGCCCGACATTTATTTGCGCAGTCACTGAAGCCTTTGTAATCAGTTTCTCCAGCGTGCAAGACAGGAGTGCGCTGAGTGCCGATGATACCAGCCTCCGTGGGTGGCGTCACAGGATTCTCAACCGAGGTGTGGGTTGGGTGGTTGGGTCGGGCGGGACAAACTGAAAGGAGAAGAAACAATTGGCCTTTAGAGTCTCTTAGATGGTTCCAAGAAGACTGTCTGTTCTTCTGTTTAAATCCTGGTCCTAGGCTTTTGTCGGGAACTTCCAATGCATGGGTTGAGCCAGAGTGTAGAGCAGTTTTCAGTTCAATCACTGGATCGCTCACTGCTATTTGCTTGGCTTTGTGGCAATACTAATTGTACCTGCCACGCAACAAACATACACCACTAAGAATGTCTAAACCTGAGGGCATTATCTTGAGATTCTGGGTCCAACCAGGGCCTTGTTTGATTGATTGACAAGATTGGGGAAAGGCAAGGCTTGCTTGGAATTTCTTGGAGCATCTCACAATCTGGCCGTTTGGCTCAAGCTGTTCAGCACTTTAAACTGTTTAATCTGGGCGAGGCCCAAAGCGTCTTGCCATGGGAAGTATTTGCTCTGCGGAAGCAAGACGAGGAGGGCTGAGTTTACTGAACCGCTCAAACGGTTGAGATCATGGCAATGCTGCAATGCTAGACATTCCAGATCAAGCATGCACCAGTAGAGACCACTGCAGGATGTGCAGAGTGCCAAGCTGACCCTGGTCTTTTCTCTTCGCTAAAAGTCTGTGAAGAAGCATCTGGCGGCTGTGGCCGATCTTTGTGCCAGGCCCTTAGAGACTCCTTCGACAGCAGGAGCTTGAAAAAAAAGGAACATTGCTGGCAGAGTACCTACCCAGTTGAAAGCATAGGGGCAGGGGCTGTCTTCCAGCAGTCCAATGAGATTCACAACGTCTGTGACTATGACCTTACCTCCGCTTTTTAGATGACAGGGATGGGGATAAGTTTCGGTTCATCATGAATGGAGCTCATTCCAGCCGTAGTCCTATGATACCATACGTATATATAGTAGTTTTTGTTCCTCCTTTTCGCCAGCTTCAAGCGCAGATTTGGAACTCACCCCTTTCCCGCTTCCACGTGCTCGCTTCAGGTTCCTCGTGCCTGGCGCATCCGCTGGTGACAGAGAAAGCCCGTGGCGAAGGGAAGGTTCAAGATCAGGACCAGCGAAGGGCAGCACAAGCGGCTTTTAGAGGGGCGACGGATGTGTGGCTGGACCCTGGAGGGATGGGCAGATGGACTCCTGGACTGACCCTGGCGGGTGGGTGTTTGAAGGTAGTCAAGTAGTAGGTCTGTGGGATGATGCTGCAGTCCGCCCGACTCTATCCCTGAGGACATTCAATCTTTCTGCAAGGCCTGCTTCCAAAGGCTTTCTTTGTCTCTCAGTGATAGTTTGGCAGACTTGTTCTTGCTCACTGTGCAATATCGACGGGCCTACGCTGCAGCATTGTGAAAGGTGGCCAGATGAATGGATAAGCTTTTTGATTAGCCACCCCAACCCGGTACAACCCCCCTTTGGGTAAACCCTTTCTTACTAGTAACAAGAAGCTACTACTAGCAAGGACGCCATTAGGTGGAGGCCATCGCTACGAACGTAACAGGTGCATCGAAGGTTTACCCGAACTTGCTGTTCTTTGTGCCCTCAGACTCGCTAAGGCTTGACTTCACACAAGATGTGGATATTCTGGGCCCTTCCACCGGTCTGACGTTGCTGTATGTGCATGGTGGAGGGGGCTGCCGGAAGATGTTTCGCCAGCATGCAGCAGCTATGGTGAAGAACGGCTTCAGGTGAGGTTGGAAGCATTCCTTCATGCCATCAAAGAAAGACGAAGGGGGGTTGGATCATGATATACATAAGATCTACCGTACCTGTATGATCGCGTATGTCGATCACTAGTCCTGTAACTGCCGGTCTTCATGCTTTTAGTTTTTACGCGGTTCCATGTTCACAAGCCACGGCACATGGGCGGCAATCCTACGTCGGAGGTGTGTTCTGATGGATTTGCCTGGGCACGGTTCCCGCATGGATGAAGTCCTCACCATGGAATCGGCCATCAATGCCATTGTCAAGGCATTGTTCTTGGGATGAAGAAAGCGTGATCAGAGGAAGATATACATAGATATATATCTTGATCCCAACAGGGCATAACTTGCTGAAGCCTCGCCTGCCCCCAAACAGGGAAAGCTTTTGACAGGTGATCAAGCAGCATGCGCCGCTGTACAAGGGCGTGAAGCCTGTGTATGTGGGGGGCTCTCTGGGTGGCTACATAGGCGTGGTCGTGAGAGGCTTCAAAGTTCAAACTTGCGCTGAACCTGTATGACTCGAACACCTTGTTTTTTCGTGTTGAAGAAGTTTTGGGGGCATGGAGATTGCAGTCAAAACAATTGAGCCACCTGGCAACTTGTTTGAAGGCTCTTGTGGCATTCTATTTATCCCCCTGTCCAGGTATGGAGTTCCTGGGACGTCATCCGGACCTTTGCTCATGTGCCATCATCACAATGTGCCCTTTTCGCAAAAAGCAACGCTTGGCCAAAAAAGACATGAACAACCAGATATGAAACGAAGAGTTGCCCTTTGGGGCGACCATCTGTGGTTCTTGTTGAAGGGCCGCCCTTAGGCCCCACACTGAGACACCCGACACCGTGGACGTCGCGTGAACGAGGACGTCCGTTCCTGTCAGGTGTGGGCAGAACGTGGGCCTCGGCCGTGGCTGGGCGGCCGGGGCGGGCTTGTGGGTGATGGGGACCTTGCTGCCGAAGATGGGCACACGGCAGATCATGAGCGCACTGGTGGCCCAAGTGCGGAAGTCGCTTGGTGGAAGTGAACAAGTGCAAAACCTTAGGTGGGAAGAAATCCGGTAGCACCATGCAGTGCTTTTTGGAGAGGTAGTTCAGAAGTAGAGTTGAGGCACTCACGGCAGCGGATGGTTTCGCTCTGCCGCTGGGCTGCTCTCCCAGGAGAGTAGTTGTAGGGGGCAGCAAAAGCAATCGAGACTGTGGAATGTAGTCACAGGTTGCGGTGGACATTTTTTTCAACCAGGGAAGAAGACACCCATGTCACTTTGGAATACGAGCGCGTACAAGGACCCTTCATGGACGAACACTCCCTCAAGTCCACCAAACACGCTTTCTTCATAACAGTGCTGTTCATGCTGGGTCATTGCGCAGCGAGAGGCATCCGGAACCCATCGGCATCCCGCGGCATCCTACTTTGTAAAAGATCCAAGGAATGGCCACATCCCCGAGTCCTTGTTCATGGATGATCATCTCCGCACAGGGATGTTCTTCGGCCAGGCGCTGGCACAGGCGCCTACGGGCTGTCCACTTGGTGCACATGAGATGAACATAGATCAAAGGGAGCAGAGTTTTGGACCCGCAAACCGCATTCCATGAAGCACCAATTTGAGGATTTTCACCTGAAAGCTGCTAGTGTACCAAGAATGGAGGGACCATGGGGAAATTGCAAGCCGAGGGCCCCAGGGCCAGGGCAACTTCCTTTTTGACTCTTGAAGCTGCTTGCTTGTATGGTCTGATGGTCGGTGACAGCAATCTCTAACACCAGTGCAACATCCTGCGGCACTGAAAGCCAGCTTTGGAAGATCCGCTGGGATAGGAGTCTGGTATTGTGTCCACTTGCAGCTTTTGCTTCGATTCGATGCAGGTTGAGATCCTTAAGGAGACCAACCCACAGGCTGCCCTAGGTACCTCAGCAGGCAATGATAGCTGTGAGGGTTTGGACATTTCAGTTGCCGGTCTGAGTTTGAATTGGTTGCCCGGATGTTCCAGGTGGTCAGGGCAAATTGGGTCATCAGTCACGATAGTTAATTTCCTGAGGCAAATTTCCTGGAGCCATGTTGTTCATCAATGGCAGCCAGGAGTGCAAAAAGTCTGATCTGACATTCAGGACTTATGTTCCTGGATCTTAAGCAGATACTCCAACCATACCTCATGGCTGAGCCTAGTGTTGCAATTGCATGCTTTGATTCATGTGATGGATTGATTCCTGGTCGATTTGGGATCCAAAAAAGACGTTTTCCTCGACGAGGACCACCGTGACTCAGAGGAACTCTGGAAAGCCACAGCCCAAAAGGGCGAGCTCATTGTTTACGAAGGAGCAGATCACTTCTTCTCCCATGACGACAGGCGGGCAAAATCCTGACGAATCGGCTTCACGGGAATCTCTTCTCAAAACTGATTTCGCAGGTTGATCAAATGACCTTTCGTGCCTTGCGAAATCCAGAATTGAATCTCCTGAACCACACTGGCCACCACAAGGTCACTGCAGTATCCTAACAGCCCCAAACTGAGCAATTCAAAAATTTCAGCTATCGATGCCCTTTGGATCGTGTCCGCTCGTTAATCAAGCTACCTCTTGGAGGTACAGCCAGCGCTTTGAGGATGATTGCTTGGACTTCATCCGAAGACAATCGGGCAATGCGATCTGAAGAGCTGCGATCGGTGCGATCGGATCGCTGGAGCCCTGTGCAGTGTGGGCCAAAAAGCTGGGTTGGAATCGGGGGATGGATCGACGGATAGACGTGTGTGGGATATGGCGCCCAGGTGAAGCTTGGTGAACAGATGACCTTTGTACTCATACCTAGTGAGTTTCAGGGCCGACTCAGGATGGCAAAAGGTTTCCAGTTTACCCTTAGTCTACCCTTGCCACTTACCCGAAGTCATAAGATCATAGCAAAAGGTCTCAGTGTCGAACTCCGGACCTTTGCAGAGGAATGCCTTCGCCTTGACTTGATCCGAGCGGTTCCGATTGGCACAGAAGACTTGACCAGTTGACCGATTGGCTTGTGATTCCAGACTTTTTCGTCCGACTTGTGCTCCACAAATGTGTCCAACTGCTGCATGCCGTGCATCCATAACACCTTCGTTTTTCCACATCGTTTTTTCCCACATCTGCCGACCCTGCTGGCCGAGAGCCCCTGCCAGGTGGCTGTGACGGACAACAAGCGCTGCAGGGCTTAGGATCGGACAAGGCATGGACACTGAAGAAAACACACATCTATTCACTGGGGCGGGGAAAGTTCCCATGGATCATGGGATGGGGAACACTTTGGTAGAGACCAACTACATCCAACTTACAGCATTTGCATTCAAGTTTTGGGATACCCCAGCAGCATGGAGGAGGATCCTAATTTGGTCCCTTTTTCTTGAGTTCTCTTCTCTTCACTTGGCTCCACTCCCTCAGCTTCCAAGAGGATGGCTACTAGTAGCTTCTTGCTACTAGTAGTAATGCACTTGTTATATACTGGTAGCGATGCTGGTATGTGAACAGAAGAAAAGGCTTTTGGCTGAGACTCTTTGAACTCTCGGAACTCTCGTCTTCGGCTCCCGAAGTTTCCGGACCACACGAAAGTCGGGAATTACCTACGAAAATGGATTTCCAATGTGCAGAGCCTAGTTGTGACACTTTCAGAGAATTCTGAGAAGGGCCCCAACCTGAACCTGAACCCCATGACTGCATATCACTGCTGTTGATGTTTGAAAGGGGTCATGGTGGGTTTTGCCAACTTTCTGTCAGGTCAAAGCTGTGGACTCCTAGCTGGACAACGACTTCAAAGTCCGCCAGGCTTGGACCCAGATCCACCACGTGTTTTGCGGCGTCTAGTCTTCAGCGGCCATTTTTTGATGATCTGAATCCAGGACACGGAGGTACTGTTCGAGCAAGGCCATCAACCAGACGCCAAGAGGTACTGCATGGAGAAAAAGGGGAGCTCTGCTGTCTAACTTGCCGACCCATTCCAATCTACTATATAGTTGGTTGGTCATGTTGGTCTTAATACTGAGACTAAGGCCTGCAAGAAGCTACGGCTGTGTACAGAGGGTAGAAAGAAAGAACTCTGATGCCGCCGATGCCGGTGATGCCGCTGACGGTGCACGGCTGCGGCCATTCCGTTGAACGGCGAGGCTTCGTGATCCTTCTTGTTTGCAGCAATGCCACCCTGAATGCCGGTTTGTGGGGCGACCATCTAGGACATGACAGTCCAAGAGTGACACGATAGGGAACGGAAGAACAGGATCATTTTTTTGTCGCTTCACGAAGCATCCAGCGTTCGATGCCCTCAACAGATGCTCAGAGCGGTCAAAGATGGCAAGGCATTCGGCGGCAGGACAGATAGATCAGATAGATAGATATAGATCGTCTGGAATTGCCCTGTGACGAAGATTGAGGTGTGGATAGGCGGGGGTTGGTCTACGTGTTGTTTCTCTTTGGATCTCTGAAGAGGTTTAATTTATGACGAGTCGACGTTATTGATTCCCAGCCTTCTTCGTTTCGAAGTTTCTCTATGCAAACCTCTCTATGCAAACCTCGTCTAGGAGTAGCTGTCACCATCCTTCAGCAGTCAAGGCTCTTATCATCTCGTACCGCGGGATACTCATCAGGAGCATTTTGGGATTTGTGGTCATAGTTGAGGGTGGCTTTGATTCCTTTTACCTCCAAACACTACTGCTTTTGTTCGCTAGGCCGCAGAAGGCAGAGATGAGATGGGCCAATACTTCCTCACAAAAAAAAACTTGTTGAATAGTATGGATAGGCTGGGGCATGCTGGGGCGCTTTCACTCTGCATATTTGTTTCGCTTGACCCCTGGGTAGGTAACAAATTACGTGTCACTGTTGTTAGTTTAGTTGTTAGTTTCCCATTTCCGCCGTCTCCATTTCCGGGTCTTGTGCCAGACCCGAATCACACACCTCAGCTAGTGGTGAAAGCCAGACCTGTTTTTCTTTCACCCAGTGGCGGCAACTTTGAGATTGGTTGACGCCACATGTCTTGCGCTTTCATGAGTCCAGTCGCTTCACTTGATGCACACTGGTTCGAAGCTGCAATCACAAACCGTGACAGCCCCTGTCTCTCACATTTGAAGGTTTCTCAAGGCTCCCTGGACGCTGAGAGACATTCAGGAGATACAGAAGAGCTTTTGCACCCAACAGCAGACCACCCGAGAAGGTGGCTTTAGCCTGTTAAACGAACATGCTTCACATTTCCGAACGAAGCTGTAGGATGTCCAGCAGTTGGGACCACCTTTTAAGGTTGAGCCGCTTAGCCGATTCCTAGCCATTTTTCTTCAACTTTCAACCGCGACTGGGTCAATTCTCGGCATGGATGCTCGTGCGAGATTTGTCAGCTCTTAAAGGTACGAGCAGCAGTGTGCCACTTGAAACCCTCAACCGGTGATTCACAGTACCACGGCCCTTTGTTGCGCCAAGCATGGGTGGGGATGGCGGCTTGAGGCCGGCAAGGGGAGTCAGAAAAATCACCACGAATATCAACCATGCGTGAGCTTGGCCAAGTGCGAGGGCGAGATCACCCAACTCATCCTGGTTTCCTTTGATTTCTCTTCTTTCTCTTGTCCCTGCCGTCCTTTTGGGTGAAGAGGAAAGTGAAGACCTGGGTGAGTTTGAGTCTCTGTCCTGAGTTAGAATCAGATCTGGATCAGACAGGATCGGCTGAACTCTTGTGAGGCATGTGGTGCACAAGCGTGTGCATTTGGCCGGCGCCTGACCTTTGCACCGCGCGCGTTTGGCTTCGTCAAGATGCGAGGTTGGAAGACATTGAATTGGAAAAGAAAGGAACCGAGAAATTGGTCCATCCATGTTGGTCGAAGCCTTAGGAACGACATCAGCCAAAGTCCAGAAGGAAGTTGGGCTATTTGGAGAAGCACAAGGACCCTCGACCCTCTCAGGGACCTCGGAGACCCTTGGGGACCGGGACGCTTGGACTCCGGCGTTCCAACACTCACAAACTGTGGTGGCCGTCCATGGCATTTCGAAACGAAAAATCTTGGACAAACATTGAATGCGCCCAGGCTACTCATCATGGAAGTGAAGAATTGTCTGAAAGTCTTTGTATATCTTATCTTCGTATTCTAGGTGAGTAAGGGAGCCTTCAACCTCTCCCCACTGTGATGGATGCCACCAGCCACCTGCAATGCGTTTCTCACTTCGTGGAGGACTATGTGAAGCGAGCGAAAGACTTTCACACAAAAGAGACCACCATTAAGCGCTTGCACAGGAAGGCAGGGGTGGAGACATGTGGCAGGTGCTTGCAAGCCTCCTGTTTGTCAATTTTGGTGGTAGGCTTGACTCAGAGTGATCTCCACTGAGGCATACTTCAAGAATGAAGATGAGTTCAACCGAAAGATGAACCAGTACTTTACCAGCAAGGAGCCTGAACTTGGAGCTGCTACTTTGTGAGCGTTTCTGGAGGCTAGAGAACCCATTTGCCATTTGCACCTAGGTGTTAGCTTTTCTTGAAACAAATAGTAACATGCGTGGCCTGAGATGTGCGAGTTCACTCTTCCCCAAAGCAGCGTTGCAAGAAAAGGTCCTCAGAACATTTCCATGGTTCAAAGTTGCATCGTAAGGTTCAGAGTCTAGAGATTTGTCACTCGTCCTCAACAGAATGCGAGGTTCGATGGTAGGCAGTGCGAGACGCCTGAACTAGAGCGGAATTGTGTTCAACTTCTCAGCTTGCAATTCAATCTCCGGGTCTGAATTTGTTCTTCTTTCCAGTAAATGGTCTGAAGAGAATGCAAATACATGTTGTTCTGATCACTGCGATGACAACTTTCCAGATACCCATCGTTTTGCCAGGAGGGTAAGGCTATGAAAAAGGCTCACCTCACACAGGCGCCCAGTGATGTAGTGTAAATTCGGAGGGGTCCCACGGTCCTGTGCGATCTTTCCAGTTAATGGATGGTTCTTTTCGACAGACAGGCATTCGACAGGCAGGGATTCTGGTCTTCAGATGACATTTTCATGTAAGTATTATAATGTATTATACATACAATTATATATATACGTATACAAATGCCCACCTGGTACGTTGATGCGATGTTGGACTTTCCTTCAATGGAAAGCAGTAAGCTAGTCTCCCAGGTGGACAATATTTCCACTCTGCCCGTCTGAAAATGATTTCGAAGGCATGCCGCTTGATGGAGCCTTTCTGGCTCGAACGGTTCGCGCTTGGCGAGGATCTATCCAATGTTGATGGGATTCCATGAATAGCATAATTAAGTACAAATAGAATCAAATAGACACAATATACATATATATATATATATATTATATACACATATATATATATATATGTTATATTATATATACACAATCATGATTTTGCTTCTAGGAAGCGTTAGCTGTGATCCTGTTTTTGATTTTTGCTTTTGTTGGAACAAAGTTCTTCCGATTCTTTCAGTTCCCGTCTGCCCGTCATGGCATGCCGAGGACTCGAGTCCGACTGGGGACTTGGTTCCGATGAGTTTTTTTGGGGGCTGGAAGCACCATCTCGGTCCATCCCTAGTCCATCTCCCCCTTTTTGCCCGAAATCAGCAACAGTTGGGAAGGTGATCTTGGGTGATATCATTTCATCAGAAGCTGAGCTGTGGATGTGCGATGGATCCTCAGGAGCAAGTCTGCACAAACTTGGAGCTT